AATTTAATACAAATTAAACTACACAATACTTCTTTTTCTTTTTTGGATAAAAAGAAATATTCTAAAAGTAACATGTTTCTTCCATCAACATTGTGTAGATGCCTTTTAAATTATGATATTTATGGATTTTGGGTATCCCTTGTACTTTATTTATTAAAGAATATTAATTTTTACTGTTCAAAAAAAAAAAAAAGCATTGTGCAGGAGCACAATGTTGACTATTGACTTAGAAAATTGGGCTCACACATCCACTCTATTAGGCCCACTTGCTTTTTCTCTAATCGGCCTAATATTATCTCAATCACAACCACAAGCCCAAAAGAAAAGATGCAAATAAAAATGTTAATTTTTTATTTTTTATTTAAAAATATAATTTTGTTAATTTTTAAATAAAGATGTAAAGTTTTAATTTTTTTATTTAAAAATATCAACTTTTAACATTAATTAACTTTCAACTTTTTCTATTTAAAAATCAATTAAATAGTGATGCTGATGTGACAAACAAACTTAAAAAAAAACAAGTTAACATAATTAAATAGAATAAGTTGAAAATTTATATTCTTAAATAAAAAAATTAAAAATTAGTATCCTTAAATAAAAAAAATTAAAAGTTGACATATTTATTTAAACACTAACAAAATTAACATTCTTAAATAAAAAAAAAAATTAACATTCTTATTTACACATTTTCTCCTGAGCCCACTTAAGCATTTAAATAGCATTTAAATAGTTGCAAACTTCAAATGCATTTCATATAAAATAATAATAATAATCTATTTATACACAAATTTTATATATTATATTTATATAAAATTTTAACTATTCATCTTTTTATTTTTAATAATTGAAATTTATCATGATTTTTATAATTATCTTTATTAAATGTAATAAGAAATAAATAAATCTTAATTATTAAAAATAAAGAAATGAATTGTTAAAATTTTATATAAATTTAATGTGTAAAAATTATTTGTAAGTGAATTTATACTCTAATAATAATAATGACTTTTTTCCTTTTGATATGTGAATTATATAAGCTTTCATTTTGTTCACTTTTATTTTGCATATGATGAGTGGACTCTATAACAATTTTTTTAAACCTCTTGCTATTTATTTTAAAATTTGATTATAAAACATCTAACTTTATATTTTAAACTCTTACTAATGAAATACTTTTAAAGCATGAATTACATAAGCTTTATGCTTAAACAAAACTCATAAGAAATCCTAATTCATTGCCAATTTGCACAAAAGGCTTAGAGAATTCATAAAATAATGTTGAACTTTAATCTCCCACTATTATTTATGTCATTTTTTTACCATGTAGATTGAATTTTTTTTAAAAGGGTCCCCGGTCTCCACTTAGGTAAGCAGAGAAATGATACAGCTATTCGGCATGCCTCAGTTTTTTCTTCAGCCAAAAAAAAAAAAAAAAAAAACCTTTAAAAATTTCGACTGTGCCAATTGAGAACTCAATCACTTAAATCTATCTCAATTATTTTAAATCAAAACTATCATAAATAGAAAGGGACTAACCTGTGCGTGACGCCAGGGCATCCTAACTGGTTGCACACAGTGACTTTGAAATGTTCCCCAGCAACGAATAGGAATAGTCAAATTAGTATACTGAAAAAGACCCATGTTCAACTTTCAATTTCATGCCAGTTCCACTTTCACTCCCATTATTTATCATTCGCGTCTGCGCCTCTCAATCTCATCCATCAGGAAATTGGAATTCTTTTCCAGCTTTTCCTAATCCTCATTACTTTCTCTTTGTGCTTATGCTTAAACGTAGGCTCTCTTCGGCGGCTCTTGGAAAGTGCATTGTTAACTTACTTAATAGAACTGAAATTTTTATTGGAATTATATGTAAGAGTGTGTTTTTCAGTAAAAAAAAAAAATCTTATATTTAAGATATAATAAATAAAAATGTGGCTTTAATAAAATGAGATATATTTTAATTATTATTAATTAATTTTAAATTAAATATAAGGGTAAGTTTATGTCAAATTTTCACAATATATAGCATAGCAAAATCATCTTGCTATCAAAAAATAGCAAAGAAATAAGAAAACTATACGTTTTTGGGTAACTAATTCTCATTATAGATTCCTCATTAAAAAAAATATATATCATAATAGACTCATGCACATTTATTGGAGAGATCGAGATGTAGGGCAGTTGAGAAACAATCTATGAAGGTCTATTCAACAGATAAGGATCATGATCCTGCAAGGAAAGTTACATGATAGATATTAAGAAGGAAAGTCAGAATCTTTCATTCAAACGCGGAAACACTCAATTAAAGTTGAAATATTCAATCAGAGCAATAGACTCAATCACAATATGAATTCACAAAGCAAGAATCAAGACTAATTGCAATAACTTAGGATTTGGCTTCTATACCAAGTCAAGTTGAAGTACAAGCTCAGTATTCTTAGTCTCCAATTAGCATTCAAATTTTTCAAAAGCAATTGCTAAAGAATTCATATTCATAACCATAATTATGCAAATAACTAGAAAAACTCTTTCATCAACATAATTAAGCATCTTAGAGATTTTCTTTTCAAGTGAAATAAAAGATTTTAAATTCAAGTTCTAAGCATGTAAATGAGATGAATAAAAAAATGAAAGATAATTGTTTTATATTTTACAACCTAAAAAAATAAAAATGCTCTTTCAAAGGATATAATTCTTGAGGTTAGGTTGAGGCCCCCTAAGGTAAATGTCAAATAATTTCCTTGAAAATACATATTGAAGAGTGAAGACCAACTTATTAGAGTCAGAATTCCAAGCTAAAAGACAGAATAGTAGTCAAATAGATCAATTAGAAACATTCAACATTCAATCTAAGCGGCTTGTCCAAATTCATACAAAGGTCAGATTTTCTCTAGATTTGAATTATTTTGAGTCTCTCATGTGCAGTAAAGCTTTGTTAGAAGAACGGTATTATAATAGGCGCTCCGCTTTGAACTTTCATGGCAGCTTCGCTTTCACTCGCATTATAATAGGCGCTGCCTGCGCCACCCCATCTCATCCCACAAAAATGGAAATTCCGCTCTGGCGATTCCTGATCCTCGTAACTTTCTCTATGTGTTTACACCTAAAAATCAGATCTGTTTGGAGTCTGCGTCTTGAGGATCAGCAATCACTACTGCTCAAATTGAAACAAACTCTCATTTTCAACCCTGCTAGTTCATCCAAGCTTGTTTGGTGGAATTCATCAACAAATTGTTGTTCTTGGGCCGGCGTCACATGCGGCAGTAGTGGTCAGGTTATTGGTCTTGACCTCAGCCATGAGTCAATTTCCGGTGGGATTGACACGTCAAGCAGTCTCTTCGATCTTCATCATCTCCAAAGCCTTAATTTGGCTTGGAACAAGTTCAATGGTAGTCGGATTCCATCTGGGTTGGATAAACTTGCTAATTTGCGACACCTCAACCTCTCTAATTCTGAATTCGCAGGCCAAATTCCAGCTGAGATTTCCAGCTTAACGAGGTTAGTCTCTCTTGATATTTCTATATCGTGGGAACTATATTTTATCTATGCGTATCCTATATTGAAACTGGAGAATCCAAATTTGTCAATGCTTGTTCGGAATTTAACGAGGCTTACCGAACTACATCTCGAAGGAACCAATGCATCGGCGCAAGGACATGACTGGTGTCGCGTCTTGTCTTTGCTACCTAGGCTAAGGGTATTGAACTTGGCCAACTGCCTTCTAACCGGGCCTATTGATTCTTCTCTAGCTAAGTCGACGTTTCTCTCTGTTTTCCATTTGAATGGCAACAATCTCTCTGCTCCAGTTCCAGAATTTTTTGGTAATTTCTCAAATCTGACTTCATTGGATCTCATGGATTGTGGTCTATATGGAAATTTTCCAGCAAAAGTTTTTCAGCTGCCAACTTTACAGAGTCTTGACATATCATCGAATCCATTGCTTCGAGGGACTCTCCCAGAATTTCCTGAAAATGGGTCTCTACAAACCCTGGTGCTGTCTTCAACAAACTTTTCCGGGACGATACCAGACTCCATTGGGAACCTTAAGGTGTTGTCACGAATAGACCTTTCCTTCTGCAAATTCAGAGGATCAATTCCAGATACTACTGCAAAACTGTTGCAGCTTGTCTCTCTAGATTTTTCATACAACGGTTTTTCTGGTCCAATCCCATCGTTTTCGTTAGCAAAAAATATATCGGAATTAAACCTTGCTAACAACCAGTTAACTGGTTCGATTCTCTCCACTGATTGGTCGGCCCTTTCAAAGCTCGTTAGCATTGATTTGCACAACAACTCACTCAATGGAACTCTCCCCACGTCTTTGTTCGGGATGCCATCTTTGCAGAGAATAAAACTCAATCAAAATCAGTTCTCTGGAGGATTGAATGTACCCTCAGAATTAGCTTCTGTATTGCGTACCCTTGATTTGGAGGGCAATAAGTTGGTTGGACCCTTCCCGGAGATCGTATTTCAACTCCAAAGTCTCAAGATCCTTGTGCTGTCTTACAACAATTTCAGTGGTCCAGTAAAGTTAAGTTCATTCCAGCCGCTGAGAAATCTTTCTACACTTGATCTATCATACAACAGCTTGTTAGTGAATGCAACTGGTATAGATCCTGCTTTGTTTCCCCAGATTAGCGCATTAAACTTGGCCTCTTGCAAGCTAACAGGATTCCCAGATTTCTTGAAGAAACAATCCCAGCTATGCAACCTAGATCTTTCAGCCAACCAAATTGATGGGGAAATACCCAGTTGGATTTGGAATAGTACATTCCTTTCTCATCTAAATCTTTCCCACAATTTTTTGGTGAATTTACAGGATCCTAAGAGGGGTCCCATTTCAGCTCAATACCTGTCTCTCTTAGACCTCCGTGGTAACAAATTACAAGGGCAACTACCAAACCTCCCACCATCTGCCACGTATGTGGATTTCTCGAGTAACAAATTCAGTTCTGTTATACCGGTCAACATTGGGGATTACCTCGAGTTTGCATACTTCTTATCTCTTTCCAACAACAACATCCATGGAAGTATTCCTAAATCGATTTGCAATGGTACCTATCTTCATGTTCTTGATTTGTCAAATAATTCAATCGGTGGCATTGTCCCCCAATGCTTGACGAGGATGAAGTCTCTTGGCGTATTGAGCCTTAGTGAAAATAGGCTCAATGGTAGTATCTCCGATTCTTTTTCAAGTAACTGTGCAGTGCAGACTCTAGACCTTAATGGAAATCAAATAGGAGGCAAGATTCCCAGATCTCTGGCCAACTGCCAAAATTTAATGGTTTTTGACATAGGTAAGAATGAGATCAATGATACATTCCCATGTCATTTGAAGAATATATCCAGTTTGCGAGTTCTGATTTTGAGGTCCAACTACTTTTATGGGCGGATTGATTGCCCAAATGACAATTATTCCTGGCCGATCCTTCAAATTGTCGATCTTGCTTCCAATCATTTTAGTGGGGAACTACCTCAACAATGCTTAAGAACCTGGAAGGCAATGATTGACAATGAAGATGAACTCCAAAACCTTCGTTTCAAGATCTTCGATCTCGATCCATTTTATTATCAAAATGCAATTATGGTTACCATGAAAAGTGTTGAGACACGGCTAGCTAAAATACTTACCATCTTCACTTCCATTGACCTCTCATGCAATAACTTTGTAGGGAAGCTACCTGAAGTGATTGGAGAATTCAAGGCACTCCATATCCTCAATTTATCACACAATTCTCTCACAGGTCTAATCCCTTCGTCTATAGGAAACTTGAGACAACTTGAGTCTTTGGACCTTTCTAGTAACAACTTGAGTGGCAAAATTCCTCAACAGCTGTCAAACCTTAATTTTCTTGAAGTCCTCAACCTATCAGACAATCAACTGGAAGGAATGATTCCAACAGGAAATCAACTTCAAACATTTTCAGAAGATTCCTTTATAGGTAACAAGGGATTATGTGGAGTGCCTTTAAAGGAAAATTGTAGACCTAATACGCAGCCATCACATGAAGGCAACAATTCAGATCATGGAACCAACATTAACTGGAATCTCTTAAGTGTTGAAGTGGGATTTGTTTTTGGCTTAGCAATTGTCATTTTACCACTTATGTTTTGGAAGAGATGGAGGATATGGTATTACAAACATGTTGACAGTGTTCTTTTCGGGCTTCTTCCTCAGCTAAGTCAAACAAGCAGAATTCATGGGCGGAGAGCTCTCAGGACACACAGGAGGAGGAACTAGCAGAGTAGTGATGAAAAGGGAGCATTCCATCCTGCCACAGTTGTTTAGTTCTATAAATAGGAGATGCCTACATCAAGCATTGTTGTTTAGTATATTCCTCAATTGAATAGAAAAAGCAGAAACAATGAGCTGAGAGGTTCCAGGAGGAGGACCAGGACACACTGAGGAACAAGTAGTGGTGAAAAAGAAAAAAAAAACTCTGCAAACTTTGATATATGCACTATATATGCCCACTCTTTTCAAGATCAAAACTTGTGTTTTTGTTACGCACAGTCACTTTTTCATTTTATTTAATAACTGTTGATGCTGGTTCTGTAACGATGCTTGCATTGTAGAGTAACTTTTAGTTAATGTATTTGGTATAGGGGGAAGTAATTGTGAGAATGGTCTTGAGTGACTTGTTTAGTAGGTAAGCGATCACCACTCGTGGTGCAGTTAGTGAGAATGCTTAGCAACGAAATCCTCTGCTGTTAGTGCTGTTGAAGATTTAGGATCGATGCAATTCTGGTTTTTGATTCAGGGATTGTGCTTGAGAATGGCAGCAATTTATAGCCTTTACATCGTTAACAAATCAGGTGGTTTCATCTTCCACAAGATACAATTTTCATATTTTTCTGTTTGTTTCTCGGGGAAATATTGGGGCTGGACTGAATTTTTCTCCACAGGATAGAAAAGGAAAGGTTTTTCTTGCTTAAGTCTGGTGAAATATTGTGTTTTTGTAGGACTATGGTTCTAAGGGACGCGTGGATACAAATGATAGCTTGAGAGTGGCAAGTTTGTGGCACTCGATGCACGCAATTTCTTAGCAGCTGTCACTTACCACTGGCTGTTCCAGCGTTGAACTCCTTGAAGCTGATACGTTTGATCTCCATTGCTTTCAATCCCTTACTGGTACTCTCCACTGGCTGGATTTTTTTTTCCCCGACGCGGGAGAGTGACATAGTGGAGAGTATTTAATTTACATGAACTTCTTTATACGGTAGAATATCCAATTCAAATGTTTCAATTTAAAATTTGAGATTTTCATTGAGAAAAGGTTTCATGTAAAAAAAAAATAACGAAATATAAGTCCGGTACTAAATGGTCTACTGATCATTCATGTGAGGAACAGTGCTTGGATATTCAAGTTTTAGGTTTTAACTCAGACAACTACTCTTTTTTTTTTTAATTTTTCTTGTGTCAAAAAAAAAGATTAACTAAGTATAAAAAATGTAAGATTTTAAATTTTAGAAATAAAAAGAAATTTTTCTTAGTACAAAGATAAAAAATTTTTTTATTAGAATAAAAGAAAAAAAAGAGAGTTTTAACCATCACATAAGCTTAATTTTGAAAACAAAATTTATAAGAAATCCTAATTCATTATCAATTTGCACAAAAGGCTTAGATAATTCATAAAATAATGTTGAACTTTAATCTCTCACCATTGTTTATGTCATTTTTTTAACATGTAGATTGAATTTTTTTAAGAGGGTCCCCAGACTCCACTTAGGTAAGCGGAGAAATGATACAACCATTAGGCATGGAGGATAACTACCAAAGATACAAGCATCAGCTCGCACCTTACCCCAAGGAAAATTATGGAAAAATAAATTTTTTATAATATTTTCATATAATTTTATATATTATTTAATTATAAAATCTTTTTACTTTACTAAAATTTGTAATGTAATATTCATCTATTTATATACTAACATATAAGAATTATAAACAAATTATTTATATGTCATTACTCTTACTTAGATGTCGGATTAACTATACTATCTGGTGGCACATCCCACGAGTACACTACTATTTTATTCCATTAAAGACAAGAAAAAGAGTAAAGCATTTGATACTATCCCTTAAGGCTTAAGCACAAAATTGGATCCAATGTCTTAATTAAAGTTTAGAATAAAAAATAGTGATTATATATATTTTTCTCACCATTATTAATAGTTTATTTTATACCAGAGCATGAAGGGGAGAGACTTTGTGGTGTGCCACTAACGCCAATAAAATTAATTATTATAATAAGTAAAATATTAAGTGAACATTAAGATGTTAGGTCAAAATAATCCAAATTCGCATTGAAACAAAGAAAGGATAGAAAAATTAAATATTTTGTTTTGAACAGTATTATAAGAACTATTTTAAGGTAGTTAGTAAATAAAACCGCGTTGAAGTGTAGGTACTGTCTTTTTAGTCATTGAACTTAATTTTTCTTCTTCTTTTTTCTTTTTTTAAATCAGCCATTGAACTTAATTTTTCCACTCAAATATCCAGACAATGAACTTAACCTTTTAAGCCAATTAAGTCCATATATTATGATGTCATTTAACTAGTTAAGTTCGTAGGCCCCATCAAATGCAATTATAGTTTTTTCTTTTATGGGAAATAATTTTGGGATAATTTTTTTGTATTATCTTTTAATATAACTTGATGTGTTATTTAAATGATTGGTTCTTTTAGTTTATATAAGACTTGTGGTATTGAATTCATCAATTAATTTAATGACATTTGAAAATTGTATCAAAAGATGGTATAAATAAGTTGTTTTTATAACACCGTTATTTTTTTATATCTCGAAGAGTTTTTATTTATTTATTATCAGATAATAGACAAAAAAATTGAAATAATTCTATCATTTTTCAAAAATTTCTCCCACACGAACTCAAGATTTGAAGATAAATAAAACGTCTCACTTGAAATGTACATCAACATTAGTCCGAAAAGCTATAATGGAAGGTTTAAGAGCAAAAATAAAAATTATATATGTAACTTTCTTTCATTAATGTTGGTCTTCATTGTTTAAATCTCCTCATGTGAGGACTCAACTTGGTCCAAAAGAAAGGTCCACGAGTGAATAGAAAAGAGAAAAAAGTTCAAGCCCAACTTAGATTAGAAGTTCTTTTTTTTTTTTTCATTTTATTTAAACAAACAAAACAAAGGACGTGTCAAATACATCTAATCATAATTATTCAACATATAAAATAAATATATTTTATTTTTATTACATAATATATAATTATTATTCAACATCTTAATATTTTAATACAACAATTTTTATCTTCTTTTCTCCATTCAAGAATAACTAAAACGGCAATGAAAATGTACTTTTATTATTATTATATATATTTTTTAGTTAGCCGCAAAGAATAGGAAAAATGAAAATGAACAAAATCATTGTAAAAGTCACGGTATGATACCGCACGCTTTGTCCCACAATGCGACTTTTTGTGCCGTCAAAAAATATTATAAAAAGTAAAATAATCATTTTACAATTTTTTTTTGTAAGATGTGGGTCCCTAATTGCCCAGTTGCCAGCATGGCAATTCCATCTCAACATTGACATTTTAGGAGGGACCAAGAGTATATATTAGTATTTAATAAGTTAAATTTTAATTGGATCCCACAATTATTATATAAATTTTTAATTTAATTTTTAAATTAAAATTTTTTTTGATTTAATCTTTTTTATTTATCAATTTAACCTCAATTTAATTTTTTTTATAAAAATATATAATGTATTTTATTATTAACATAATATATGATTATTAAATAATAATTTTTTGTTATTAAATAATGGATATATCAATTGTTTTTTAATAAAAAGGTCAATTTAGAGTTAAATTAATGAACAATATAAACTAAATTAAAAAATTTTTAATTTAAAATTAAATTGAGAATCTATATAATAATTAAGGGATTCACTTAAAAATTTAACCTATTTAATATATCTACTAAAAAAATATTAGTACTGATATCCTAGGCCAGGTCTAGCGGACATTTTAAATTGGCAGGCAATCTAAATCAAGGGTTTTTAAATCATTGTAACAATTCTTAGCTGTATGCAAGAAATAATATAAAAATGTAAGGAAATGATATGGGTTTAATTGCTTTTTTATAATGATTTGTTATATAATA